CCTCCCCACAGAGAACTCGGTCCGCTGTGGCCAGTCCCGCCTGTGGTAGTGCGCCTTGGTGTGCCTGCTGTCCCAAAGGCAAAAGATAGCAGGGAAACTTGGTAAAACCGTCTTGGAGACCCATCAGGAATGACACCATTTTGAAGGATCCGATGACCTCCCAGTCGTACTCATCATACCTCAAGGCATCCAGCAAGGTCTTGATGATGTTGTAATCCTCTTTGAGGTGCACCAAGTGAGCCAGGGGAAAAGACGGGTACTTGTTACCATTATGGAGCAGCACGGCTTTGAGGCTCCTGGATGAGCTGTCAATGAAAAGGCGCCACTCATTGTGGTTACAGGCGATTCCGATTGCCTCGAACAGACTGGTCACGTTGTGGCAGAAGCAGAGCCCATCTTGACGGGTGAAGAAGCTCCAAAAAGATTGGTAACGCTTCCTCTGATCTGCGACTTGCGCACTTTCATCCAACAAGTTCCACTGCTTGAGCCTAGACGTCAAAAGCTCGGCATTGGACTTGTTGAGACCAAGATCTCTGATCAAGTCGTTGAGGTCTTTTTGGTGGGGGTAGTATGGGTTCTCTCAGCTCCACCTCTGAAATTGTCATCTGGATCTACAACATCTTCCTCGCTCTCTGACTTGCTGCTCTCTTCTAAAGACGGCTGCTCTCTCTCCGGAGGAGTGGGTACGGGGAGCTCATGGCAGTGTGGCACCGGGGCAATTAGTGAAGGAAGGTCCGGATACGTGATAGCAGGTGCATTCTTGCCAGTCCCACGTTTGGAAGGGTCCACCATGCAGCAGTAGCAGTTGCTTGAGTGGTCAGTGGGTTCCTGCCAAATTCTTGGGATAGCGAATTTCATGGCTCTCTTTTCCCCTTTGTACCATTCTACAAAAATACATGTATTTCACCCATGACTAATGTGTAAGAGGTTCTTGCAACATTTTTCATATATGATATATTTTTCCAATAACATTGAAAATTGTAAAACATTTTAGAATGAAAAACTTTAACAATTTTACATTTTTTTTTACAAATTTTATAACATAAAATTCCGAGCAACAATTGTCCATCTTACTTTCCAGAGTTGTTTTTGCATTGCTCGCAGGTGAAATGAGGTGCCCAGGGTTTGTCTTGATCCCTGACATGCATGCTGAAATATGCCTTGTCGGCCTCACACATCTTAGCAGATGCTTCCAGAGAGTACTTTTTCGCTCTTGTCTTGATAAATTGGCTGCAGACATAGCAAAATGCGTCTGCCGGGTGCTTGCAGCCTCTTGATGCCATCTCAGAAAAATGCAGAAATGCATCCACTTAGGCAGCTGGAACTAAACTGAACTGGTGGGCTTAAGGCCCCTGTATTTATACTATTATTTATATTTCTGGAAAGTTCTAGAATGTTCTAGAAGTTACTCCAAGTGTACTCAGCACTGAATCTATCTGGAATGTTGTGGAAAATAGGTAAATTTCAAAATATCAATGTCCTGGTCATAAAAGCAAAGTTTGTGGGGAATAATAGCCATTTTCTGTACTCTTGAGGCATAAGCAATTACGAAATAACACTTACTACCCAGGAACAAAAATTGTGTTACACAGTGTTATGTATGCATTGTCCTTGAAACTGATTGGCCCACACCAGAGACATCCTCCTTCGTGGCCTTGTCTCACCGATGTTAGGCCAAAGAACGCTCGTGAGTTCAACGCCATGAAGGTGGCTATCTCTGGCCATGATAATGTGGAAATTTCACCACCGTCTCGCTCCTGTTACCAGATGAGCAACTTCACACTCACTTGAGTGGGAAATCGCTTTGACCTTTTCCTGTTCATTTTTCGACACGTTCTGCGTCTGCCCCAAAGAATCGCGATTGCCACACACATGAGCAAACTAGGTCATGGGTTCCCCCCCCCCACCCCCCATTTTCCAAAACAGTGATTACTAATGGCACCAGAGACTATGTTTTTTTTAAATAATCAGAATCGGAATCTTGATTTAGACTGGGGGGAATCCGATGAGTTTTGAAGCTCTTTTACACAAACGTCCAGATAAGTCGGCTGCCGACGGTCACTCGGGGCCTGGTGATGAATGGAAAGCCATGCAAACACTCTACGTGCGCGTGGTGACTTGTAAATGTGGCCTTGATTGGGAACATTCGGCTGTGAAATGTGATTCCCGTGACTCGTGGGTAATGAAATGGAAGGTGGCGAAGTTTACCCAGCTATGTTATAATGCGCCTCAACCAAGAATGCACGTTTTCTCGAGTGGACGGACATCAGGAATATAATCGGGGTGTGTGTTTATGATATACACCTCCAAGGCTCATACAAATGGCTGTTTCAGCAAATAAAATACAACACCGTTAGTTTCTGTGCTTGTTGAAGGAATGTAATGGCGCCTGTTCAAATATATTATGATACTGCAAATGCATGCATCAAATAACGTGTTTCATCACAATCAATTAACTCTGGGTTATGCATGTTCTTGAGAATGGCTACATTTAGCTTATACATTGAACCACACCACTTAATCTGTATGTAGTTGCAATGGGGGAAAAAAACATAAGTTTGTTTTTCACATGAGCAAAGTGACCTTTTTCTTATTCAGCATAATTGTAGATTGTTTTCCTCTCACGTCACCTATGAATGACAATGCCCAGATGCTTATAATGAAAGCTCCTTGGCTGGCTTTGTATTATTAGTCTTATTGGAACACCGTGTACAGACCCCAGAACAATTATTTCACGTTAATGTCGTGGGCATTATTCATGTTGAGAATGTGTACATAACCACTGCAATATTGCCATGACTTAACGAGCATCATGCATCTGCTAGAGCTGGGCAAGGTGTGTCCATCTGCCATCCTTGGCTTTATTTTGGAGAAAAAAACTCAACACATTCATCATGACCTTAAAGAACAAGTATATAATTGTAGACGTTTTGAGCAATGACCCTTCTTCATAGCACTGGGGAGGCCAGAGAGAGAGAATGAGAGTTAATAAGGGTTGGAGACTGCAGTTTACATGATGGGGCTTGATGAGAATTCAATTAAAAAAAGTTTTTGATGACCAGTTTTTAAATCGGCATATTTCTAACGTATGGTAATGTATCAGGAGCTAAATGCCGATGTCGAGGTCTGCTGGCCACGACGAAAGGGCTTTTGGAGAGAGTTCGTGGCAAGATGTTAACTACCTCGCTTGGTATACAAGAGGTCGTGGGTTCAAACCCGACCCTGACGCCTGCTTGCTGTATATTTGGAGTTTGCGTGTCCTCCCCATGGTCGCGTGGATTTTTCTCCGGGTCCTCCGGTTTTTCCCTCCACGCGTTTAGAGTATTTGGCTTCTATACATTTACACACGATAATCCACCACAATTGTGACCATGTCGCTCCTGAAAAATACATTATAGTTCAGTGGGGCTTACCTGGTTAAATGAAAATTTTCTTTTTTTTGAGTTATAGTATATTTTGAAATATTGACAGTGTTGGGAAAAAATATGATTCGTTGTGTTTTGATATTTTTGGCACGGGCATGATTATTGCTTTATAATTGCTTTGTTGTTGGAATATATTGAGGTTGTGTCATGTACTGTATTTTATACAAATGTGAAATGACTATTATGATCTCGTAACCAAATTGAATTTTATACATAGATTACCATAATGCTGATGCAGCACCCACACAGTTTAATGGTTCTCGGGCGATAATTTTCACTCCTTGTGCCAGTCAGCATTGCTATTTCGACGATAATGTAATATATAATTAGCACCACTGTTATAGTCCAGATTACTACAGTTGTTATCATTTGCCCATTGTTGTCATCATCGTCGAGCATTATCCATCAGCTCGAGCTCGCGATTGAATTTCAAGCAAACGTGAGATGACAATTCAATCCAATTATTGTTCATCGTGTGCTGAAGGCTGTTGTTTTTTTTTCATTCGAATGTTGACAGCACGTTGGCGCGAGCAACTCATCGTCGTAAATTATCAATTCCCTTCTCGCCTTTCAACATTTATTCATTCTCGGTCACCGTCCACGCATCTCTCGCGCTCCTCCGTGAGTTGTTCAATGGCAATTATCTTAAAAAAAAATTTTTTAAACGAATAATATCGATCCAAATTTCCAAATCGGGCACGTCGAACAATAATGCATCTCCGAATACTGTATATCCGGCTGCGGTAACCACGGAGACGCGGTGGAGATGCTGTGGTGAATGCGTTTCTCATGCCACCCCCACCGCTCCTCGCCGTGCGTGTGCCCCTCCTCCTCCTTCTCTCTACTCCGTGTTGCTCTCATTTGCATTCATATTTTCGTTCTGTCTGCCTCCCCAGCGGCGTGTCTGAACGCCCTCGTCAGTGTCCCGAGTTACGGCTCAACGTGCCTGAGTGCTCGTCTGTTTGAATGCACCGCCTGTGACGTCACACCGCCTGTGACGTGACACCGCCTGTGACGTCACAGGCGGTGTGGCGTCACACCGCCTGTGTCTGTGGCGTCACACCGCCGCCCTTTGCAGAAATGCCGCGTTGGTGGGGGGTTATTTTTGGAGGAAGGGGTAACAATTCACCCCCTACCCCTTGGCCTGTCGAAGATTTGATAAATTGTCGCGATTGTGTGTCACGGCTCAAGTTATAAAACGGGTTGTTATTTTTCGTTTTTGTTAACGCTGTGGCGAATGTAGCGGCCGCTAGTGGCTGTGGGAGTCACTTCAACCCATCGCAATATACAAGAACAAAAACCTCATCGATTCTCACGCGCACGATTGCATATGCGCGTGTCGCGGAACTTAAAGATCAATGTTAAAACAATCGATCAAATCGGTGCATCGTTCCGTCCCTAGCGTGAAAAATAAATCACGAGCAATTCTCCCTGCTTCTGATCTCGCTTCCCTTCTACGTCTCGACCACCTTCCTCCGCAGCCGCCCCCATCTCCATTCCTCTCCACGGCTTCCAATGAATCTCCGAATCCATTCGAAAACTTCCCATTGCCTCGTCCTTCCCTCTGCCCCGCAGGCTCTGAACGATGTACGGTGAACGCAACTCGTCGTCTGCGGCCGTGCGCGGGGTCTAGCGTCGCGAGCCTCCCACCCGGATTTTAATCGAGAGAGGCGACGGTGGGGAAGGAGGAGGTGGTGGTCAGGAGGCAGCGCCGCTGTTGTTCGAGCGACAGCCGTGGCGGTGGAGGGATCCACGCTGCCGTGAAGAGGAGGAGGCCTGCGATGTCGCGGAGGGCCGCCGGGCGTGGCCGGCCTGACAAGCCCGAGGCCGTGATCCACTCGCTGCAGACCGCCAACGAGGAGCTGAGGGCGAAGCTGACCGACATCCAGATCGAGCTGCAGCAGGAGCGCAGCAAGGTGAGCCCGCACCTCTCTCACGGGAACAAGAAAGGAGAAGAGGAATAATCTCACGATGCCGGAGGCGGCGGCCTGGGGGGGGGGGACCTCCTCCTCAATTGATGATTTGTTTTTGATGTAGCGCCCAACGCACTGAGACGTCTCAGGGCACTTTACATCACTTCTCATCTCACACATTTGAAAGACCCCCCCCCCTCCCCCTGTGGCAGCTGTCCCTGTGGGTACAAGGTAACTCAGAACCTTGCCCTGCAATCGGGCTCCAGTCTGCCAGTAGGTGGGGGATGACCGCTATGTAATCATCTCTTCTGAGTATGCATGCATGTTGGCCTTATTTCGCACCGTACGTAGCCAACCGTGGTAATCGGAGGCGCGATAAGCATTGTCTTGAGTGGTGTATTGTTGTCGTCATGCAACTCACAAACTTTAGTTTTAACATCTCATGTTTACAGAACATTAAGTGAGCAACCGCAAACGTCGATTTACACGATCACAGTCGTAATTTGCTCTTGGAAAACGTCTGCTTTTCCCAATCTGTACAGATTTATAACTGGCCATGCCTCGAAGCTGTGCGATACACATGTGATGCGACAGCGCGCGATGACAATCCGTATTAATTTCACTGTCCAAAAAATAACGAACTTGCCATTGTTAGTTTAAGTTGCCTGAACTTAATATAATTGACTGATTGGCTTAGTGGTCATTGTGCCCTTCACCGTGCATGTAGGCGTGCGCGTTTGAAAGCTGACGAGTGGATGCTAAGGATGTGGAGGCGCGATTGTTCAGTGTGGGATAGCCAAATGTCTGCCACTGCCACTGGCCACATCTCATATCTGCACGGATGTTGTAAACGGAAAACGGCACCTACTTATCTTTGCCCACACTGGGTTTTTGAAAATGTCACAAACGGCAGTTGGATATCAAATCGGCAATCACTGTGGTTCCATGAAATAATTTGTCTCGAGTTTATTGCATGAAAAAAAAGAATCGCATTGTTGTACTGCACCCTTGTGAAATGTAATCCTATATCGTCAGTATATCGTCTAAAAGTATATATATATTTTTTTCTTGGTTCCAAAAGTCTTTTTTAATTTGTGTGGTATGATATTACTCATCTGGGAGGAGTGTTTGTACTGGAGGCTCCTGTGCACAGTGCAACTCGCTATGCAGTGAGTGTAACACACAGGAGAGAGATCTGTGTGCGTGAGGGTTGGTGATGTGGACTCTTGCAGGATTGTGAGGAGCAATGTGGAAAGTGTTGGGCACAACATTGGCCCGTCGATAATTTTCTGAGTTTTAATGAAAAAAATAAAATCCACGTAGAGATCACATGCACACTCACACACCGTGTGGAGAATGCGTAGATGCAGACAGTATGCGGTTTAACGTATTAGTGTCATGTTGTGACCCAGAGGACAGCCTTGTGTTATCACATATGCCATGGACTGAAGCGTCTATGCAATCCTATTTTGCTCATGTCAACCCTACAATTTGAATTAATTCTGCGAGATTTAAAAGAAATACGTCAACAGAAACCAGACGACAGTTGTAGCTGCTCGGCTACCATCGTAGCTACTGAAGTCTCCTCGTGAGGTGCGCGAGTATCAACCTTGTTGAATATTTAAACTCTTTTTTACTATTTTTATTTTACCAGCTAAGGCCCACTTGAGCTATATAAGCTATTTTTTTTAATTGACCGGACCACATATTATAGCTCAATGAAGTGGCTTATAATGTGGAAATGTATAGCAGCCAAATACTCTAAACATGTTTCTAAACGTGGAGTAAAAAACCAGAGAACACGGAGAAAAATCCACACGAACACTAGGAGAACATGCAAAGTCCAAATATGTAGGCATCACGGTCAGTATCGAACCCACGACCTCCTGTAAACCAGGCGAGGTAGTTAACATCTCGCCGTGAACTCTCCTGAAACGCTCTCGTTGTGGCCAGCAGACCTCAACATTGGCATTTAGCTGCTGAATACATTGCCGTACGTTAGAATAGATAATGCCACTATTCATATGCCGATTTAAAAACTGATCATTACATTTTTTATTGAATTCTCAAAAGGCCCCATCATGTAAACTGTAGTTTCCAACAATTATTAACTCTTGTTATGCCTCTGGCCTTTCTAGTGCTATGAAGAAGGGTCATTGCTCAAACCGTCGACAATTATATGCATGTTCTTTAAGGTCATAATGAATGTGTTGAGTTTTTTTAATCCAAATAAAGCCAAGGATGGCAGATGGACACACCTTGCCCATCTCTAGCAGGATCATGATGCTCATTAAGTCACGGCAACATCGCAGTGGTTATGTACACATTCTCAACATGAATAATGCCCACGACATTAACGTGAAATAACTATTCTGGGATCTGTACACGGTGTTCCAATAAGACTAATAATACAAATCCAGCCAAGGAGCGTTCATTATAAGCATCCGGGCATCATCATTCATAGGAGATGTGAGAGGAAAACAATCAAAGAAATTCAGCTAAGAAAGAGATACTTGGCTCATGCGACAGACACACTAAAATCCACGCGAACACTAGGAGAACACGCCAACTCCAAATATGCAGGCATCAGGGTCGGAATCGAACCCACGACCTCCTGTATACCGGGCGAGGTAGCTAACATCTCGCTACCGTGGAACCTTCGCTCTAAAGCTTTCGTGACTGCAGGGATTCATCTTCTTGGTTCTTTCGGTAAAGTCACGTAGAAGGGAAGTAATAAAATAATAAAAATAAAACATAATAAAACAATTCTCACGACGTTTCGGCTACAACGCAAGCAGCCGTCTTCAGGTGAAGAATGAGACAATGCCAAGCTAGGAGCTTATATATAAGCTGCGTTGGAGGTGGAGGAAAGAGCGCCTTAACAAAAGAATGTGCATGTGAAGAGGAATTTAGCATATTCATGGAAAATGCGTAGGAGGTGGGCGGGGGGGTTTCAAAGTCATATTATGCCCATGCATTATGCAGGATCAACAGCACCAAGGGGGGGGTTCAGGGATTAGCAGTAACAAAGGAAAGGAATGTTAATGATATGTAGCTGCAGTTACTCAACCACCACGTAGAAAACTAAAGTATAAACTACATAAAAAACTAAAGTATAAATAGCATAGCACCATCAGTATACTTACTATACTCTACACTAAGCTGAGTTACTAACAGCAAGTAATACATTACAATTCTACGTCGTAAAAATTATATAATATGCTTCCATCTAAACTTTATTCTATTGCATCAACGAGCATATACCGTACTATATACTGCCAACATTAAATTATATACTGTATTGCTGTAAACCAACCTATATCTTATACATTTAATATAACACTATGTATTATTCTACCCACCCTAATGTGTGTCGAAATGGTTTATTACGTCCTTCCAATGATTGCTAAGCCAGAATCCATCTTCTCGGTTAAAATTGTCTCTGTGTTTGTATATGTGGATCGCCTCATGAACGAATCTCTCATGATAGCCAGATGGCTTGCAGAGAACCTCTGTCTTGGAGAAGTCAATGTCATGTGAGCCCACTGAATTGTAACAGTGATCTGCCACGGCTGAGGTGTTTGTCCTACCGTGTTTCAGGTCTGCCTTATGTTCACGGATGCGGTCCGAGACATGTCGTTTGGTTTCTCCAATGTAACTGCTACCACAGATGCAACTTAGTTTGTAGACGCCAGGGTACTGTATGTCTGGAACCACATCTTTTACAGACGGGACCAGATCACGGATTTTATGTACTGTGTTGAATCGGACCTGGATCTTGTGTTTAATCAGGATTTTGGAGATCTTTTTTGTGACCCCAGCAATGTAGGGTAAGGTGATGGTCTTGAAAGGCTCCTCAACAGGATCCTTCTTGATGGTTGAAGTGATGGCTTTGCGGATTGTGTAGTCGGAGTAACCATTAGCCTTAAGAGCTTGGCGTACGTGTTTGAGTTCACTGGAAATGTGTTCATGGTCGGAGATGCATTGGGCTCTATGATATAGAGTCTTGATGAGGGAATTCTTCTGGGATGGATGGTGGTGGGAATCCGGTTTTAGATAAGCATCCGTGTGGGTGGCTTTCCTGTAGACAGAGTGGCTCATTGAACCATCAGGTCTCCTTTTGATTAGGACATCCAAAAAGGGTAGCTTGCCATCATTTTCGACTTCCATGGTGAATCTGATGGCTGGGTGTATGGAATTGATGTGGTCGAGAAATTGGTCTAGAGCAGGCCGGCCATGTGGCCAGATGACAAAAGTGTCGTCTACGTACCTCTTCCATAAGGTCGGGCGTAGAGTGGCAGTCTGGATGGCGTCCGTCTCAAATTTCTCCATGAAGATGTTGGCTACAACCGGAGATAGGGGGGAGCCCATTGGGGTGCCCTCAATTTGCTTGTAGAAGGTTCCATTCCAGGTGAAGTATGTATTGGTTAAGCAGTGTCTCACCAGGGGGGGTACCCCAGCATTCAGTCCTTGATGAACCAAGTCTTCAATGATTGCGATGGTGTCAGGCACAGGCACCTTGGTGAACAAGGAAACCACATCAAAACTGACAAGCAGGTCGTCTGGGGACAGGGCAATCCCCTTGATTGTCGATACCAGGTCAGTAGAGTTTAGTACTGCAGAGGTGGTTTTTCCAGTGAAAGGCCGTAGGATTTCGGACAAAAAACGAGCCAGTTTGTAAGTGGGGGAGTTGATAGTAGAGACAATGGGACGAAGAGGTGTATCTTCTTTATGTATCTTTGGCAAGCCGTACAATCTTGGTGGCCTGGCTGCAGAAGGTTTCAACGAGAACTGTTTGGTCTGATCAATTAATGCGGTTGAAGCAGAAATGATGTTGTTGGTTTTGGAGACGAGGCTGTTGGTGGGGTCTCTTTTTATTTTTGTATAGCTGCCATCGTTGAGTAGTTCTTGAATTTTGTTGTTGTATTCTATTTTGTCCATGATGACAGTGGCATTGCCTTTGTCGGCTGAGAGGATGACAATGTCATCCCTCTTTTTTAATT